CCTTGAGAGCCTGGGTTTCACCTCGGACATGTTGGCGTTTCTCACGGGCACGGAGCTTACTCTTCTGACCACGAGGCATGCTGAATCTCTTGAGAACCCTGAGGAGGAAGTTAGAGTGAGCCTTAGGTCACAGTCTAATAGATCTGCCTGTGGCTTACTGGGTCTGACATCACTGGGGCTTCTTCTGTTCTTCCGTAGTGGGATCTCTAAGCTCACATTCAGGACCATCGTGTCAACTGTTGACAGAGCCTGGATCCCCTTCCTTTTGCTACTCTGATGTTAACACCTTAAACCTCCCTAGAACCCACGAGAAGGAAGTGAAGGGGAACATCAGCCCACAACCCCTGGCAGGGGACGCCAGTGCTGACAGTACAGCATGAGGTCCTATGGTGAACAGACCTGCCAGTCCTCACTCAATCCCCTCCATTTGACTCCAAGGAAGGACTAAGTTTCATTCCTCTGCTGACATGTCACCACTCCCTCAAACCAGAGCCCTTTTTTCTCTGTGATTCCCAGAGAGGAACTGAGGCATGTAACCACCTGACATCTATTCCTGGGCTTCCGATGGCTGACGGATTCAGAGGTGCCCCCCACTGTATGAGATGAGAGATCCCTGCAGCCCTTCAGGTCCTCACCCTGACTCCTGGAATGCCTGGAAATCCTCCTTCTGCTGACAGAAGGCTGGCCCCTTACACCAAGGCCCCCAACTCCGGGGACTCCTGCGAACAAAGAGGGGGCGGGTCCTCAGACTTGAGCCCTGCCCGGAGCTTCCCAGGGCAATTGCAGTAGAGCGATCCTGGGGCCTCTCCTGTGCTAGGGTATGGAGTCTTCTCAGGCATCTCCTTGACTCCATATAGGGCTTGGGATTTCTCCATCTATTGGCCTGAGACCACCAGCCTCAGACCAAGGCCTTCATACTCTTGGACTCGGAGGCAGAAAGGCTGACAGAGAAGTGGTGTGGAGTGGGGCTCTGTGGGGTGTCTTCTGTTCCCAGGAGTGTAGTCCAGCAGTGCTAACTCAGGATACTCACCCTGACACCTGACAGGTCCTGAAACTCCTCCCTCTGCTGGACAAAGGCTGCACCTCAAACCCAGGCCTTGCCCCTCACAGTGTCTGTCCCACAGGGGAAGTCTGTGCATCACTTCTGGCCACGCCCACCTGGGCCCTACCATGCCTGACAGCAGGGTTGGGGCTCTGTGGATCTCCCTCTTTTCCTGGGTGTGCTGGATAAGTGGTTTCCACAGAAGTCACATGGGGGCCTTTAATTGACTTTTCGCATGGCCTGTCTTAACTAACCCAAGGGTTTGTGCTCTCTTCATATTATCCCCATGGTAATGCCACATGTCATCTAAGGTGCTGCCTCACATTCCAGCAGTGGAGCAGTCTAAATTCATTGTCCCAAGCAACACTGGGAAGGAGTAAGGGCAGAAATACAAAGCTTTTCCTCCAACTGATTCTGTCATCTGCCTTCAACTGTAGGATAGAGACCTGTCTCAACTTTAGGGCATGCCCCCACCTGCACACATACAGGTTCATACTATTTCAACACAGACTTAGTGTCCCTTAGAGCTTTAACATTTTTGTTGATTTGCTGTTGTCACTGATATTGTTCTTTCTTTATTCCTTCCTTCCCCCTCCCCCCACCAGGGTTAATTCTGAACGTGGAAAACGGCAGCCCTAGATTGGTTATCAGCTTGGCAGCGACAGGTAAGGCTCTAAATCTGTAAATAATTGAAGGAGTATTGACATCTTTAGGAGTCCCTGGGTGGTGCATGTGGTTAATTGCTTGACTACTCACCACGGAAAGGTTGATGGTTTGAACTCCCCCACAAGCGCCTTGGAAGAAAGGCCTGGAAGTCTGCTTCCAAAAGGTCACAGCCTTGAAAACCCTATGGAGTAGTTCTACTCTGCACGCATGGAGTTGCCATGAGTCAGAATTGACTCAACAGCAACAAACAACAACATTGACATCTTTGCAGTAGTCTCTTCCCCATGAATAAACATAGCATAGTGCTCTGTTTGAGTCTCACTTTTCCTAAGTCTAACAGCAAATTTTTATGTTTGCCCCTATAAATACAGTGTACATTTTTCTGAAGTTTCATTTTAGGTATATTTTGTAAGTTGTTGGTGTTCTGAATGGAATATTTTCCATTACCTGTTCTAATTATTCATTTATTTGTTTATTTATTTTGTGACTCTTCCCCTGATTTTGCTGTAGTGATTTTCTACACACCAGCTTTCTGAAGTTGTTTATACTTTTGAATATTTTGTAAGCCAATAACTTCGGATTTTTTAGTAAGAGCATCATATTGTTGCATTATTCTCTCTTTCTTTTCATTTTTCTTACCTCTGATTTATTTTGGTATCTTGTGTATCGGTGTGTACTGGCTATGCATTTCAGATAATGTTTATAACAGTATCGGTGGTCCTACCCTTCTGTGTCTTGTTCCAGACTTTATTAGAAATGCTTCTAGTATCTCACATTTATGTGTATTTGATGTTGATTTTATATATATTATATTATAT